TCTACTCTCTCTTGTTCTGGGGCCCTTGTCAGGTTCCCTAAGCAAAGCTTACTTCTTTTGAATTGCTTTGGTGCAGAACTTTGTCACAAACATCCTAGAAACTTACATGACGGCTGATTTCCTCCTTTGCAACAGTAGAGGAGCCCTAAGCACATTTCATAAATGACATGAAATACATGTAACCAGTAAATGGTTTTTTTTCTCCTTGAGCTTTATTTCTTAACACAAGGTTAAAGGACTTACTGTTGCACTTCAAGAGGGGACATTCACAATGTGAATCTTATTCTCTCTGTGGTCCTATGGCATGTTAAAGCTCTCCTGTGTTAAAACTAAACCTCTCTTGGGGCGCCTGGGTGGCGCAGTTGGTTAATCGTCAGACTTCAGCCAGGTCACGATCTCGCGGTCCGTGAGTTTGAGCCCCGCGTCAGGCTCTGGGCTGATGGCTCAGAGCCTGGAGCCTGTTTCCGATTCTGTGTCTCCCTCTCTCTCTCTCTGCCCCTCCCCTGTTCATGCTCTGTCTCTCTCTGTCCCAAAAATAAATAAACGTTGAAAAAAAAAATTAAAAAAAAAAAAACAAAAAAAAACTAAACCTCTCTTTTTAGCCTCTCCATACACTTTGACGTAAGCCATTACTAAGAAAATTATCCTAATGATCATTAACATCATAATCATAAGTAACAGAAATAATCTTAAACTTTTTTCAGTAAAGTCAAGGGTATATGAGGAAAGTATCAGTGTAAAATGGCTTTCCCAACTTGGCAGTGGTTGGTAAAATCTGTGATGAAATTTTTACCTTAATGAAACAGACCGGCTTTCTCTCTTGCCCAGCCATACATTCTGAAGTTTTTCATGTACCACAAAATACATAATAAAGGATAGTTAAATTCACTCTGAACCCCAGCTACATGACCATGACATATTTGGAGGTGACTCTGAGAGGTGCATTCCCAAATATGGTGCAATGCTTTCTAAATTTACAGTCTGATTTCCTGCTGCCAGTTATGACTGCCAAATGCTTCTGACAGTGCGGCCAGTTTGTGGTGTCCCTAAAAATCATCAGCAATTTGAAAACATTAGCGCCTGGCCATAGTCATACTTTGCAGTGATTGCCTATATTTATCACCTTACTTTTCCAGGGTACAAACTGAAAACAATCACAGAGGAAAATTAAACTTCTCTAGCAGCAGGGAAAATACAGAGTTGAAAATCAAATGCTCCCAACCCCTTTCTGTATTGCTCAAAAATAAAAATAAACAATGTAAGCACTGGGGCTTATGTGGCTACAGAGAAGAAAAATATTGTAAATATATATTCCCTCCTCAAATATTTCTTATTTTGTCTTCACATTTGCAGAGTGTTTTCAAAGGAGGATATTATGGTTATGTGGCAATATTAAAAATGAGGAGAAGTTCATCGCTTCACTCAACAAATATTCACTATGTTCTGCTCCGTGGCATGAACTGGGCCTGGGACAGCAGAAGTGGAGGAGACTGGCCTGGCTTCAGCCTTCAGGAATCATATAGTCTGTGGAGACAAAGAGTGATGTCCGTTCAACAGAAAGGAAGAGAAAGTTTAGGAGAGCACAGATGGAGGCAGAGGGGACATGCACATTTCCCAGAGGGACAAAAGTGAACCTGAAGGTCCAAAGGATGGATGCGAGCAATGCAAAGTGTGCTGTGGGGGTTTTGGAGAGCATTCCAGACACAGGAAGAACAGAAGGGCCACCCTCTAGGGACCAGTGGTCTGCACAGAGCACAGAGGTGCCAGCAGAGCAGGTGAGTAGCATCTGGCGTCTGCTCTGCCCTCCACGTGCACATCCTGGCACACAGCTGCCCCACACCCAACAGCCTCCTCCTCTCCACACGGAAGTAGCAAATGCTTGCCAAGCCAACTCCTATGAGTATATTCATTTGAGTCCAGGATAAACTATTTTCACATAGAGACCCCCAAGCTTAGTGGTTTAAACAACCTGGAAGCTTGTTTTCCCTTATGTGACACTGCAAATGGTCCAGGGCTGGGAGCGCGGCTCTGCCCTCTTCTCTGAGCCCAAAGCTCTCCAGTGGTCTCTGTCCTTCAGCCTTCAGGCACAGGGACGGGGATACACATGCATCTCTTCATGTAGGACAAGGAACACAAGTAGCATGCATCACTTCTCACTTCTCATGTGTGAAAACTTGGTCCCATGGTCACCCCAAGGTTCAGGGGGGCTGAGAAATGTATCCCGTGGCTGGACATCGTGCGCTGTGCTAAAGCCGGCAGCAAACAGGGGAGGATGGATGTCAGCAGATATTTAGCAGTCCATGCCACAAGGGCAAGTGGGAAAGAAGGGCAAGATGATGGCAGAGAAGCCGGCAGGAGTCAAATCACATAAAGCCTTGTTCAGAGCAAAGGAAACCTAGCTGTAGCCCTTAAAAAAGGGCAGTGGCAGATTTATGAGGACAGTGTGTGCTCACAGAAAAGGCTTTGCAAAAAAGCCTTGACTGATCAGGGAAGACACAAGCCGAGGTTTCCCACTGATTCTCCCACCTAATTGTCACATGTCCTTGTTTCCCAACAACCCAAATACGCCTTCAGGGGACACATGTCTGACTCATATGGTCTCCGAACAAATGGCCTGGGGGCTTCACATTAACAGATAGTTTTATGCAGATATAGACAGAAATCTGAAATGTCCTGTGTTATTTAGCTTTGTACTGTCAGTGACCCTAGGGTGTGCTCTGAGTTTACATACAGTCACAAAGGTCCCAACAAAGCACACATCCTGAGGTGCAGAGGTGGCCCCACCAGCACACTCATATCTGTGAATACAAGCGTGGCCTCTGCATTGTGGTCAAGCCACAGAGAGCCAAACCACATTCCTGCCTGCATCCTCTCTGAGGACTGTCAGATCCCACCGTGGATACAGGGCCATCCACATGGCATTCAGGCCAGCACCCCAAATTCTGTCTACACTGGAACATCGAGGCTGAGGACTTGATAGCTGCTGTCTGAAGTGGTTCAGTACATGGAAACTGGACTTGAATCCAGGAAGGAGCACTTTAGAGAGCCACTTATCTCACACCCTCAGCCTCGACCTGGCAGAATGCTACTCCTGTAAAGACAACGGTAGTGTGTGTGTGTATCTATCTGTCTGTCTATCTATCTATCTATCTATCGATATAAGTGTGTGTATGTGTTCATTTTTGTTATCTCATCCTCTCTGTAACTATCTGAGGTACATATTATCATTCTTACAGAACTGATGAAGACATGGAGCCCAGGGAAGCTGGGTGACCTGGCACCTGCACCCACAGCCAGGATTCGAACCCAGTTCTGTCTGGCACCAAACTCATGCTCATTTCCCTGCACCCTGTGTTATTTAGTTAGTAGTTTTCTTCCTCAGATTTAATCCGTTTTAGAAATTGGATCAATGAACTAGTTTTGGGACATCTGTCTAAATTATATTTATATTATATTACATACATCTATCATCCAAAATGATTTTTTCCAAAACCTACCTAAATTTGCATGCAAATCACTGGCTATATCCTATAAAAAGCACATCAGAAAATTCTGATGTTCCTATTCTTTTTTTTTAACTATTTTGAGAAAGAGAGAAAGCGTGAACAGGGGAGGGAAAGAGAGAGAGAGGGAGAGAGAGAATCCCAAGCAGACTCTGCATTATCAGTGCAGTGCCCAATGCAGGGCTCGAACTCACAAACTGTGAGATCATGACCTGAGCTGAAATCGAGAGTCGGACACCTAACTGACTGAGCCACCTGGGCGCCCCCTGATGTTCTTATTCTTAAAAAAATAGCTTAAAAAATGGCTTGTGGCAGCGTTAGTGCCTATAAGCTGTCTGGATCCTTGTCTAAAGGCTTCAGTATCAAATTATTCTTTTTATGATAGGACATCATTTATTTTTGGGTTTCAGTCAACAAATACGAAAAATACAGATAAGTCAGGTGGTAGTTTTGATTTAATTATTAATAAGCACTATCAATTGATTAATAATCAATTATTAATTTAATGGAACCGTCAGAGCTAAAGCTTGAAATGGCACTGAAGCATGGAGGTCTGATTTAATAAAAGTCAAACCTAATGAAGAGAGTTGAGTGAAACACAGCCTCAAAACTATAAATGGGGCTTCTCTCACTGAGCATAGTGGTTTTGAGATTTGTCCCTGTTGTTGCATGTGTTGGTGGTTTGTTCCTTCTTGTAGCTGGGTAGCATTCCATTGTCTGGAGGGACCTGTCATTGTTCATCCATTCACCTGTTGAGGAGCATTTTGATTGTTTCTGTGTTTGTGATTATGAGTCATGCTGTATAACTGTTCACAGAGAGGTTGTTATGTGCCCATGTCTTCATTCCTCTTGGGCAGATACCTGGGAGCAGAGGTTCTGGGTCGTACGGTAAGTGCATGTTTTGTAAGAAACTGGCAAGCTGTCTCCCAAGGTGGCTGTCTCATGCTGTGTTCTCAGCAGCGTAGGAGGGCTCCGGTTCCTCCATGTGCTTGTCAGCCCTCAGTATCGTCAGGCTTGTGAATTTCTGCTATTCCGGCAGACATGTGCTGATGTCTCAGGAGGTTTGGGCTTGCATTCCCCTGATGCCTAATGGTTTTGAACATCTTTTCATGTGCTTGTTTACCATCCATGTATCTTTGTTGAAGTGTCTATTCAGAAATTGCGTGAATTTTTAATTGAGTTGCTCATCTTCTTATTGAGTTGTAATAATTCTTTATGTAATTTGAATAATAAATGTCCATCGACAGCTGTGTAAAAGCATATATACACATACACGTGTATAAGAGTGGGGACTTGCCCTGGCTTTGACAAAAGAGCGGCACCCACTGGGTACATCCAGATCTTGCATGCCCTACTTTCAGACCCAGAGTCCCCCACCGTGAGGATTTCCGGGACTGGTACAAGCAAAACAGAGGGCACATTTTGGTGCAAGAAAGGTGTATAACATCCAGATATATATGCAGACTATGATAATTTGTTGTCAACACACAGCTTCACTGTGAAGAAGCATCTTTGCTGTCTCTCCTAGTCACAGTGCAAACACTGCATTTCCATCGGTGCAGACCGTGTGGCATCACGCCCGCGGCACTCCCAGATCCGTCCCTGGCTGATCGTGCAACACATCTTAGGTGTGTTTCTACTTTTCTTTGGCAAAGATGACAATTTTCAAAGAGATTTTCCATTTTTCTTCTCTGCATGCAAAATGGCATAAAAATTATCAGGTCAACCTTCTTATAAATAGTTTCACTGGCAAGTGACCATCTGAGAAAAAATATCTTTAGAAATTTGTTTTCACGGAAATTTGATCAGATTTCCCCCAATCAGAAAAGCATGATCTAGGGAGAGCATCAACATTTGCAGCAGTCAGTGTGCATATTTTGTTACTTCTTACAAGAAGCAGAGGTAAAAATACTAAGCCCCGTGTCATAAAGAGACCCCTTCCAACTGCATGTCAGTTTTCATTGCTGAAAATGGAAACTTAGGGGTGCTTTTCTGATATTTTCCTCCTCAGGGATTCAAACTTTAAACGTGGGTTATAAGGAATAATAGCTTCAACTTTAGAAATATTTTTCTTACTTTTACTCATGGGTAACCAAAGACCTGGAGAATACAGTGCTTTTTCCCAAAAGCATATTGCAAACTAGAATTTTATAAACAAGTCCCGACTTGTTAACCATAAGGATAAGCCATTATGTTTGATCATTCCTGAACCACAGACATAGCTGCTCTGATTTCAATCTGCATAAGCTATAATTAATTTGATTTTAAAAATGTAACTTTTGTTTAGCACCTGTACTTTTAAATTTCAGTCCAAAGACATTTCAAAGAGGCATCTTACACCATGGCAATGGGTTGGAAAATGCAGAGAACACAGCTCCTAAGAATCTAAGAGTTTTTGTTTTTGTTTTTGTTTTTTTTTGTAACAAAAACTGATTGATCCTGAAGGAAGTGAAAAAAAAAAGGAGCCTTAGAAGGGAATGTTAATGCATGCATATTTTTGGTACATTAAAGACTGCAACGTGCTAATTCAAGCACTGTTTGCTTTTTGTATATAACAGGATTGCTGTTTTCAAGGGAAAAACAGAAGATATTTTTTAAGTGCCAAAAACTACTTATGGAGTCTGAAATGCATTATTATTATTATTAATTCTTTTTTTTATTATTATTAATTCTTACGTCTAGCATCTGTGAATAGCTTCTTATACGAGAAAACCATTTTGGGTCAGCCGAAGGCCAAAAATAATGAGCTGGCCTCCTGCCTCTGTGTATTGCATTAAGTAGCTGCCAATTAATAAAACTGATTTTTTTTTTGTTCCTGGGATAAATTTCAGAAAATGAAAACAAACAGTTGTTGGTGATTTCCATGAATTTCCAATAGAAAAGAATATATTTTTCACAAGATTAAAGACTGCACTATAAGTAACCAAACAATTACGAGAAGCTGCCCGGTGTATTTCTGTGGTTTAGCAGAAGGGCCAAGTCGGAAGGAAAAGACATTCCCGGCATTTTCTGCAGCTAGATAAATACAGAGAAGAAATATAGATGAAAGATGGAACTGCTCTCCGCAGTCCCTGCCAGATTCCTCGACTTTTTGGCATAGTGATTGAATTTGGCAAATGTAACCAGTAACAATCTTTTCCATTAAAAAGAGCAGCATATACTTTATTTTACCATACTGTTTGTGCATTTTTGACCCTCCAAAATGGTCTCTCTTTTTTAGAAAGTGATTCTTTCTGCAGAGTTGGCTGCAATTTCATTTATTTGAAATGGATCATTTATCACCAAAAAAAGTTGCAGGGCACAGCTACTGCTGAACAGCTCCAGCAGACCTACAGCTCGGCAGGAAAAGAGACCGAAAGATGCTTTAACATGTGCCAATAGCACCTCATGCCAACCTAATGCCTTGATATCCAAACCTGTGTAAATTTGAGGAATCCTGGACCGTACAGTTTAGACAACATAAGCTACCCGGTCCTGTCATTTTCTTTTATTTGGGATCAGAAAAACTCTAATGTAGCCTGATGTTCCTAATTTTGGTAACATGATTATGTGAAGTAAAAGAGTAACTCGCCAGTCCCAAATCTAAATTTCAGGGACTCCAACACTTCAGAACCTTAAAATATTTTTCTTATCTGGCAGTGATACTCTAGTAAACTTATTAGGATAGGTAAGTAGCAATCCCTAAAAATAGGATGCTGAGGATCAAGTACCAAGGCCATGGTTTCCAGCTTCACCCAAGTCAGGAAAGGGAAGCTCACACCTGATATGCCTCTCGTGCAACTCAGATTGAAATGACTTTTTGTTTTACCTTTCATTGGTTTCATCTGAACTAAGCAAAAATAAAAGATTAGGGTGCTCACCTGTTGCTATGAAGTTTTTGAATGCAACATGATGGACATGTTTTGGTTTTTAAACAGCCAAAAGTTCAAGCAGCCTTTGTACAGTTGGCAGTGATTTGTGTATATTATTGCTCTAATGTTATCTGCCATATAGAGCACTCTTTCTTAACCATTAAGTAGCAGCTAATTTAAAGCAAGGGAAAAGCATTAGCTTGGTGTGAGTGCCAGATAAACCCTGTGGTTTCAATTTAAAGTCTGGAGCCAACAGTGACAGATATAAAAATGAGAATCTATAATTTGCCAAGTTTAAAGTCCCAAAACCAACATGTGAATGCTTCACTGGTTTATATGTGCATAAAATAAAGGCTGTTTTGCATAGATTCAAAATGCTAAAGGAGTGTTGTTTCTTAAATTTAAGATGACAGTATAATAATAGACCACATTTAATCACAAAGTATTTGACAAGAAAAAAGAGCCAAAAGTCACTATTTAAATTTAAGAATGCTAAATCCATACCAGCAGTTGGCAATAGCGAGGTCTGAAATATCTTCAATAAAAATTATAAATAATTACCTTTCACATTTTATAATTTACATCCATTTAACTCACAAAGCTTCCTTTATGAACAAGTTCTTTTAAGTTTATTTATTTATTTTGAGAAAGAGAAAGACACAGAGGGGCCGTGGGGAGAGAATCCCAAGCAGTCTCCACGCTGTCAGTGCAGAGCCTGAGATGGCTTCAATGTCACCAACCATGAGATCATGACCTGAGCCGAAATCAAGAGTTGGATGCTTAACGACTGAGCCACGCAGGCACCCCAAGAACAAGTTCTTTAATAAAGTAATAATAATAATAAATAGAGCTAGCCAGAGCTGTTAGCAAGAATTTATAATTTTAACCAACAAGGCACACTTTAGAAATACTGGGTAAAATGACTTCTGTACCTCTTTAAAAGATTTGCAACAATAACCTCATAAGTAAAGTATATATAACTCAAAAACACCCTCAATAACAAGCATGATGATAAAAGACAGTGCATGTCCACTGACCTAACAATTTCTCCTGTCAGTTGATCCAGAAATCTAAATCCTGGCTCATTACATTAGTGCACACCTTTTACAGTGTCTTCCTGGCCCTCCAGGGATGCTCCTGACTGTCCCTGTACCTCACCCTCACTCAGGTGAGCCTTGGAAGCCATTCGGTAAAGGGAACACACTGTCCACACCGATTGGATGAGGGGTGGGCACTTCTCCCAAACCAGGCCAATCAGATTCCCTTCTGTGACATCTCTGAATTGAAAACTAGGAATAATTTTGGCCACACTAAGGTTAACTGGAGAGTGAAGCTTGGGGACACAGTGGAGGAAACAGTGGAGAAATAGGGAAAGCCAATGGACAGAGAAAGAATAAAATGAAATGGATACAGAAGTGAGGACAGATGACAGGTGAAAGAGAAAAAGATGTTAGGAAATCCGTGAGGCCCTTGTCCAGGCACCTTATTAGGGCTCAGCTGTTTCCTTGCCCATGACATCTGTCAAACATGCACGTGTCCTCTTTGGTGCCTGAGCTTATTTGAGTTATTTATGTTGCTTGCAATTTATTGTATCATAATTGATTCTGAATTCCATCTATGGGTCTTGAAACATCACTTAGACTATTGAACTAAAGCTTCCCAATCTTTAAAATGGGGACAGGAATGCCTGCATCACAGGGTTATTGCAAAGATTAAATGAAATAAGAAATAAAGCACCTACCTCAGCAGTGACCACTAAGTGATGGGCTGCTATTTTAAAAAGAGATTATCCTGTAATTTACATTACATATACAGCCATTCATATTACATATTTGTTAGTCAAGGGAAAGCACTTCAATCTCTTATTAAGCTAATATTTTAGTATTTGCTAATCATTCATCCAATGGGCTATTCCAAATTATTTGGTGAAATTTAAAATTAAAAGGGGCTTGCTAACACCTATTATCACTGTGGTTATTTCTCACTTTGGAGTAAAAACCTTATTTAAAAATAGGTTTGTGAATAAGTCCTTAATTCTTCCTGTTCCCTTAATCTTGCATCTAATCTGTAACAAAGTCCTGTTTAGGCTGCTGTGTTCTCATGCACTGACAGCTCACCACCTTCCCAGAGGGCTCTTTACTTCCACTCTTTGTGACCTGCTCCCTACACACCTTGAAGAGTGATCTTGAAAAACATAAATGGGATCATAGCACTGTTCCAATTAAAATCTTTCAATGGCTTCTCCCTGCACTAGAATAAAATCCCAATTCTTTACCGTGGTCTGGCACTCCCCATGTAATCCAGCCCCCCTCGACCCCCTGCGGCTCTCCGAACACATCTTGTTCACTCCCCCATTCCATCACTCAGCCTCAACTGCCCTGATCTTCCTGCAGGTCCTTGGAAACTCTAAGCACATTTGCACCTTATGGCCTCTGCACATACTTTCTGTCTGCAAACTCTTCTGTCTTCATCCTTCATAGCTTAGCTTAGATGAACCTGCTCCAAGATGCTTTCTCTGCCTTCCTTGTCCAAAGTATGTTAGCTCTCTGTTACTCTTCATCCAACCCCATTTGTTTCTTTCATAGCATTAAGTACACTTGGTAATTATTTTGTTCACTTATTTTTTTACCAGACCCCTTTTATAGTGCTTGAGAAAGTTGAGAGACCCTTGGTCCTACTCTCTCCTCCTGAATTCTGGGAGTGATGAATAGAAGGTCAAGTCCTGCCTGTGTGGAGAATCTGTATACTGTGTATTTATTCTGCCCCTTTGAAAAGGGATACCCTTGTGAAGGAGGAGTCATTTCCTGGATTGGCACTAACCATATGCGGCCATTCTTGAC